TAATACACAATGGTAACTAAAAGTTTAACTACTAAATAAAGGCCATATATTCTACCTTTTGATCTTTTTGCAAACTGATTATTAAAATCAATGGGAGATTGAGGGGAGTATATAGTCCTAAATGTATACCTCTGTTATGATAGATAGCTACCCAAAAAAGGAGAGCCATACTATAATTATGTATAGGAGCGAGAACTCTGCTTTCAGGAAGTGCTTGATGAGAGAGCACAGTACATGTTGAAGGAGGAATAAAGCCTGAATGTTGCACTGTTTTGGTTTTAGTCCAGTGTTTCTCAAATGCGGTCTCCAGGGCCTTTCCTTGCGGCCACAGCGTCTTGGGCTGTGATGGGGGTGGGGGCGCAAAGCAGTGGCCCCTCTCCCCAGAGAGACAAATGCTGGAGGTGCAGGCAGCTGGTGAATTCCCCATTTTCCCAAGGGGAGGGGAGGCAGGCTTTGGCCACGGGGCTCCGAACTCCGTCCACGCGGTGGCAGGCTCTGGTTCCAGGCTTCGGCCCCAGGCTCACTATCCCGCCATTGTCCCTGGACCCCGCTGCCTCCCTGCCCATTTCCCCATCCGGGGCTTAATTTGTCCCAGGGCTTGCCAGGGCTGAGTAAGTCTGCTGTGAAAAGTGATATTAACAAACGTACAAATATCACTTTTCACAGCAGAAGACTTACCAGCTAGCAAGTCTTGGGGGGGGGGGGAGGGGTACAACTAAAAAGGCAAAAGAAACAACAACAATAAAACAACAACATGCAAAGTGCCTTATTTGTATTTCTATTCTGTTTAGGTCCATTAAAGAATAGAGACAACCGTAAATTATTTTTATTACTGAGTCTGGGAAAAACCCAACATAAATAAATAACAATGATTTGGATGTGTGTACGTGCATATTTATTTGTTTTTCCTAAAGTTAATTAAGTATTTTAGGAAAAATTGTCAGCGTGGCCACCAGCAAGAGTTGGTGGCCGCACTCTGAGGCCACCAAAATTTTTTTTGTGAGAACCCCTGTTTTAGTCCGTCCTTTTTTATGTTTGAACACTGAGCAACATAAAGCTATAGACCACAGTTAAAAGTAGAATTTGGCTTTCTCCATGGAATGAATTTGATGCTCGTGATTTGGAAGATGATAGTTTTGCTAAACATTAATGGGGAGGCTGCATGACCTAGTGGAAAGGGTACTTTACTGAGAGTCAAGAGACCTTTAGGTTCTGTCCTCAGGTCTGCCATTGAACTACTTATCTTAGGCAAGTCACTTAATTTCTGTGTCTGTTCCCTGTCCCCAACCTTTGTATATCATGTCTATTTAGATGGTAAAGTCTTCAGAGCAGGGACTGTCTCTCACTACAGTGAGAGCGCATAGCACAGTGAGGTCCCAATCTCAGGTGGGCTCGCTAAGCACTACTGTAATACAATTAAACAATAAGTGTGCTCCAGTTTGCTGAAGGAGGATACTTTGGACACTATTCACAAAAATATTTCGTGCTGCATATTGCTAAAAACAAAACACTATTGACCTTGAATTAAACAAAAGGATGCAAGTGCTGGTTTTTTAATATTCACGTTGTGGAGCCAAACCTAGAAGTTCATGCCTAATAATCATGAAAATGGAAATGTCTATGCACATCTTTGATTTTTATGCATACATTTTGAATGCATGGCTTCTCTGCTTCCAAAGCAGTGTTTTGTATTTTTTGTGCATATAACTTGTTAAGATTTGTGTGAAAACATTAATGGAAACTACAAGACTAGGCCGTTGAGCACTCTTGTTTCTTTTAGAAGAGGAAACATTGGGCCCAATGTTGCAGTCCCTAGATGGACAAAGGTCACATCAAAGTTCATAAAATTAAAAAAAAAAAAAAGGAAAGAAAAGAAAAAGTGAGTTTTAATCACGTAGGAAGTGCAGGATTAAACTGGAAGCATTAACTATGCCTTTAACAGGAAATGGTTATCTGCTAAAAACATTTTCTTTGGTTGTCTAAATTTGTATTTCCTACATGTTCTAGGTTTGTGCAGTTTAATACTGTGAACAATGGAAACATCCCAGTCTCAGAAAGACATGTTCCAATGGGTTAGGTTTAAAAGTTGACCTTGTTGTTATCTGGAGACAATGAACGATCTCCAGATCTCAGATGTATTCTAAAATTCCATACTCTCACTAAGGTGTTTTAAAGATAAACAAAAATGCAATAGCCACTTTTATATATAACCCTAAAATGTTTGCATTTTGAAGAAACAGCCTGCTATCAGAGCGAATACAGACTAACTATAATAAACTCATCCAAGACTTTTGTTAGCATCACTGCTGATGCTAATGCACATATAAAGAAATAACTAACAGTGCCATGCTTGCTGTGTTTAGTTTTTGTAAGCAGCACAAACACTTCCAATGTTTGTAACATATAAAAAGACAAAACTAAAGGTTGGGGGGGGAAAGAGGAGGAAATGTCTTCAGTCTTTTAATAACAATAATACAAATGTAAAAAGTTTATATATAAAGAACTCTACATAAACAATAGCTGTTGCAGTGTTTTAAAAAAATGTCTTGTTGCCAAAGTAGTGAATTAAAAGATAAATAGACAATATTTGGAATTTAGAGATTTCCATTTGGGCTGTAATAATATATAAAACATCTTTTCAAAACTACCTAATACCCTAAAACAAGACACTTGTATGAGACCATTTGGGTGAACTCAGGCTTCTGTAAAATTCCCGATGGCTGTGAATAGCATGGTGCATGCTTGTGAGTCATAGCAGAACTTGGAATCAGACGGGGTGAATCAGAGGAACTTGAAACGAACCCCACCTCCCCCAAACTTTACAATCAACTGGGGCTTGTGTACACACAGTTTTTGTACTTAGTTTTATTACATAAATTTATGGGAATAAACTCTGTTTAAGGCAACCCAATATATCTGCATCCACATGAGGGGTTATACCAATTTAACATATTTGGTTTAAAAAAAATCATGCCCCTAAATCGGTGGTCCCCAACCTTTTTGTGGCCAGTAGCACATTCATGTTTTCAGAAGAGGGGGGCGGGCACCAACAATTTTTCAAGGCTTATTTTGTATTTGTACATTAAATAATACAAAAAACATCATATTTAATATTACATAATATATGAATCCAGAAAGAAGCTGGAGTGAAGCTGCGAGGACAGAGAACACTGGCGCCCGCAGCCCCGGAGTACTCTGTCTCCAGCAGGCGCGGGGCCCCAGCTTCTCTCCCCTGCTGGGGCACTAGGCGGCGCCTGCCGGGCAGGGCCAGGTCTAGGTTTTTTGCCGCCCCAAGCAAAAAAATTTTTGGCTGCCCCCCACCCCAGCCCTGAGTTCTTCTCCCCCCCCCTCCACCCCCTCCACCAGTGCCCTCCCCCACCCGCACCCAAATGCACATGGAAGGCATAGGGACTAACCCTCAAACCTTGTACCTGGAAAGGGATGGGGATCTAGTAAAGAGGGTTCAGGCAGAGGAGCGGGTGTGGGGGTGCTTGGGGGCTCTACACTGGAGCAGAGAAGCGGGGTGTAATGTACTTGTGGAGGAGGGTGGAGCAGGAGAGGGGATATCAGGAGGGTTGCAGGAGAAGAGGTGCAGGGGAAGGGGGAGGTGTGGGAGGAGAGGGCTGGGGAACGGTACAAGGGGAGAGGTGAGGGTGAAGGGAGAGTACAAGGGGAAGGGGTTCGGCGAAGGAGCGATGTGGGGAGGTACAAGTGAAGAGGCTGTGAGCAGGATGGGGGGTGCAAAGGCTGAGAGGGGCAGGCACTGACAGCTGCTTCCCTAGCCCCATGCAGGCAGAGCCGAGAGGACAGACACTGACCCCCAGGTGCCCGAGCCGTGGGGGTCCCCCGGCGGGGCAGTATGCCCCGCTTGGAGCCGGGCTGTCCCTCTCCCCACCTCTGGCACTGTGGGGGCCCAGGGCAAGCAGACCGGGGCTGAGGTGGGGGAGGTGCGCGGCGGGCTGGGTCCGGGGGCAGCTCGGGCTGCCCAGCCACTCGCCCTATCAGTGCGTGAGCCAGGGTCCGCGTCCCCCGCCCAGCCCGGCGGCGCCCTGCACAGCCTGCTCGGGCAGGGAAACACCGCTCCGCCCTGGGGAGACTCAGAGCAGCAGCAGTAGCGGTGGCAGCAGCAGGACCCCTCCTCCCTGCCTGCATCTCGGGCCCCGCTTCCCTCCCTCCCTCCCCGGCTCCTCACACACTCTGGGAGCCCCTCTCGCTGCCGCAGCCCGGGCTTTGTCTCCAGGGGACGATGCTCTGGCTCTCCAGCGGCAGGGCTCTGGCCAGGGCTGCCTCACGGCTTTTTGCCGCCCCAAGCAGCCCCGGAGTTCTCTGTCCCTGGCAGGCGTGGGGCCACGGCTTCTCTCCGGCTTAAGCCGCATTGCTGCGCCTGCCTGGGACCGAGAACATCAGCACCTGCAGCCCCGGAGTTCTGTCCCCGGCAGGCGCGGGGCCGTGGTTTCTCTCCGGCTTAAGCCGTGGCGTCGCGCCTGCCTGGGACCGAGAACACTGGCGCCTGCAGCCCTGGAGTTCTCTGTTCCTGGCAGGCGCGGGTCCATGGCTTTCTCTCCCCTGCTGGGCACTAGGCGGGCGCACATAAGTGCCCCGGCAGGCGCCATGGTGCCCGTGGGCACCGCATTGGGTACCACTGCCTTAAATGAAATAGTTTAAATTGGAATAAAAATTGTGTATAGACCAGACTTTGTAAGATTTACTGAATAACCCAGATAGGAAAATGGAGAGAGGCATTCAGCAAATAACTCTGTACTTTTATCTAGTTTTAAAAAACATTGAAGATGTTATGTTTAAATTAGATGGTTCACAATGTTCATGGACAACAAGATTTTTTAACTTACAGTAATTAAATCTTTAAATCTTTCAGTCAGATTTGCTAAGTTTTCTGTATTCGATTTAATGAAATTATTTGTTTCTTCATCCACTTCAAAAGTATTTTTGACATGAGCAGTAGCTATGCTGATTTGTGTATTGCTGCTCTGACTTTTCAGGTGATCCCACCCAAGGAGTGGAAGCCGAGAAAACATTACGACGACATTGATGATCTAGTGATTCCAGCTCCAATTCAGCAGATGGTCACTGGTCAATCAGGGCTTTTCACTCAATACAACATTCAGAAAAAGCCAATGACCGTGAAAGAGTTCAGGCAACTGGCCAACAGTGACAAGTATGTATATTCAGTATTCTGTTTGGAAAGGAGAATATGTAACCTTCTCCCACTGTGATTTTTACCCTTTTAGGCACCAGGTGATTTTTATATCTAACTTACTTACTGAAGGCCATCCTTGTCCTTCTTCTAGGACTTGGTAGAAGGCACTACTCAGTGCTTTAGAGTGGTCTGAAAAAAATGGAGAGTCTGTCATCACCCCAACATCTGCCCTATCCCCAAATCAGTTTTTCTCCCACTCCTCACATCTGTTCTGTCCCCTTTCCGCCAGCAATTCTGCCCCCACCATGCCCCAAGTCAATTTTACCCCCATATTTATACTACCCCCCTTCAGTGCCCACATCAGTTCTGCCCCCCACCTCACCTGTGCTCCTCTTGCAGCACCTGGAATTCTTCAGCCCCTCCCACAGGCCTGAGGGAAGGGAGGCTGGAACGGAGACCCTTCCCAGGCCAGGTACTGCACGGGAGAGAGAGCAGAGGGGGAAGGAGCAGAGGAGCTGTCTTATTGCTCTTAGGAAGGTGGGGAAAGAGGGAGTAGAACTGCCCTGATCGAACTGCTCTGAGTGGGTGCGATCTTTCTGCTCACTTCCCCCTGCCTCCCCCTCCCCCCCCGTGAATAGTGTGGGCTCCTGAGGAGAAGGGAAATAACTGTCTGCCTCTTGCAGCATCCCTGATTGGCTGCTCTTCCCCAGGAGGCAGACAAGTGGGTAAAGCAGCCAACCAGAAGGCTTTTCCTCCAAGGTGGTACTAAAAGAGTGCACCTCTGCAACTAGGCTCACTTTTTAAAAATTTAATTTCCTGTGTCCGTGACCCCTTATGATCCAGCATACTTTAAATCCTGCTGATAATGAACTCTGTTTAGATTGCTATGATCATTTGTTTTATATGCTTACATCTGCATAGGGGATATAAAATATAACTTCTATATATAAAATTATAGAATATAAAATGCCATGTCATATAAAGGTCTTATAGGCATAGTTTGGATTGTTCCTTTTACTCACAAGTGGTGAAATAATGCGTAACCATGCACTTGCATAGAATATCCCACGAGTGCAAACAGAACCGTAATTCTGCACACACCATAATAGAAAATATTTTAAAAATACCTGTAATTAGAATTGTTTTATCCCTCTACCTATAATATCATATTGCTATGTTATATTTAATAAGGCTATATGAGTTAGGAGTACTTAAAAAGCCTCCTAGCTTGTTACATTCTTCTTAAACAATGTAATAGCAGAAGCTCCTAACCTTTCTTTAAAGAAGATTTTTCCCTCTCTTCAAAGAGGTCAGGTTTCTGTGGAGGACAGCTTCCTTTCTATGGGCATATCTCTGTGACACTAAATTGCTTTCCCCTTCATTTGGGATACCCAGATGAGAATGCCCTGAACTTGGATGTCATCTTAACATGGCTGAAGGGCTCTAGTCTGAGTGATAAACTGCATTTAAGAGAAGCCCTGGTCTGTAGGTTACTCATGGGTTGCTGGGGTTCAGCTCCTGTTTGTTGAGAGACAATCAGTTCACCATGAGGCTCTTCCTCCATCCTTCTCAATAGGAGCTGTGTCAGCTGCATGACCTCCTGTTTCCTGTACTTCCAAGTTTTCTTCCAAGCAGTCTGAACAGAAAGAGCTTGCAGAGTTGATCTAGAACTCTCTCCCCCTCTCAAGTTGTTGCATTTATGGAAGCAAATTTCCCTTCCTAAAGACTTTCTAAATAAGGGGGAGTACTGTGGCCAAACACCCTGAGGAAAAGGTTTTGGCAGAGTAGGCTGCTTGGCAATAGCAATAGAAGCATACTCCCTCTATGGGAAGTTAGAAGAATCTTCCCAGGCCACAGAAAAGGATGTAAAAATGCCCCATGTGTCTGGGACAAGCAAAGGGATGAAGACAAGATCCTCCAAAGATTTCTGCCAACTGGAAGAACTGGTGCACTTCTCCCAAAAAAGCTTTATGTGGGAGAGGGAGAAAGGAAAGCAAGGTCCCCAGGAACATTGGGATTCCTCCCCTTGCTTCTGGCTTGGGCTACTAAATGGCAGAACACTTGCCTTTTGGACCTGTTGGGGATAATCTGCAGGACCTACTTGTGCTAGAACCAGCATGTGTTTGCACACTCTTTGGTGTTTATGCTCCTACAGTACAGGGGTAGGAACTGGTGACCATATTGCCTATTAACAGTAGTGCCTTTTCACCAGCCCAGGAAATGCGGTAGGCTAAAATGGAGGATGGGGTGGTGAAGAGAGACTGTGGGGCCACCAACTAGTAGTGTATTGGCTCTTTCAAGAGCCTTGGGTGACAACAATCACACTTAACGGCCTAAAACTCAGAACAGGCAGCAGAAGTTCTTTCCATCTGTTGAGACAGGAACAAATTATCTGGGTAGCACAGGACTAATAGTGACATAAATACTGTGAAAGACATTACCCAGTGTTACTTTGAAAGCATTGTTACTATGAAACCTATGGGTTTAGGACTGTTGAATATGTGAAAGGACCAAAGAGTGTGAAACTCCTAAATTTGTCTAAAAGTACTTGGTCTGCAAAATCAAGTATAGAGCACATCAGGAACGTGGATGTTGGGAGACATCCAAACCATGAGGGTGAAAGGACAACTTTTCCAATTGAGGTCCTCTGAAACATTGCCTTTAATTTCATTCTCTCTCTGCAGATACTGCACTCCAAGATATATAGATTATGAAGATCTGGAGCGTAAATACTGGAAGAATTTAACCTTTGTGGCACCGATCTATGGAGCAGATATCAACGGGAGCATTTATGATGAAGTATGTATAGTTTTATACATGTCATTTTCCCCCCTCCTCAACCCTGGCCCAAAAGGTTAGTTAATGTTGCACTATTGTATTGCAGCTGAGAACCAAGTATCTCTTGAAAATTGTCTCTAAAGATCCCCACTTTTGAGTTGCACATGCTCTTAGTATGATGCACTTTAGACCCTCTTGGGAAGCAGTATGCCCCCTTATGAATCCGAACACTGATAGAGGGGTATATGGTATCATGGGCTCAACAGTCCTTAGCTAAGCATTTCTGGTATCTGTAAGATCTTGCTGCAGCAGCTTATTTTTTTGGATAAACTAGTTTGTCTAGTTACAATCTTTAAAAAGTATAGACATATTTGTTTATTTGTGCAGTATCAGCTCTGTTACACATTTCCAGCCACTTCAGTGCTTTTTGTTATTGGTTCTGCTCAGTCGATTTCCAGTGAGTGGGATTGTGTGCATTCAAATCTAAATCCACCCTAATTGATAGTCTGTCAGATCTGGAGCAAAAATCAGGTTGTAAGTGTTACGCATCATGCGATGGGATGGTGTCTAGGGCAGACCAGCACTCGGCTGTTGTATGTCCCCTATCACTGTGGTATTTTAATGTCTGATATGTCGTTAAGATGAACACTCCCTTAAAAGGTGTTCTGCATGTGCATGATTTTGCCCTCCTCAAATATGAGTGCTACCTGAAACTCCTTCTCGATGAGGCGGTGTCAAAACTCACCTGAATTAGTCCTTCTCCACATTAGCGCTAAAGAAAATTTATTTCCTGTAGTGATTCTGTTGCTGGTTTGTTGCCCCTTTGACTTCTGAGATGAGTGTGGTGCTTTAGACCTGGTGGGCCTGGGATGATTCTGAGTTCACACTTCATTCTTCTAGACTTGCTGATTCCTCTTCTGTCTTTCTCTTCTTGGCTGCTTGGATACGCTCACCTTGTCACCTCAGAAGCAATCTTAGTCTGAGGAAGGGGCTTGGATCTGAGGACTGTCAAGGTCAACTTTGATTTCATCTGGAATGGGATCAGAGGGTCATCCCAAGGTCCCTTGAACTTGTGAGTTTCCTAGCAAGTTTACGATTGACCTTAGGTCTGAGGAACCTGTACGAGTCAGATCATTCTCTTCCGAGATGGCTATGTACAGATCCTCTGTCTGACCTCAGGAATCATTCTACCCTCTGGACCTCTCTAGTTCTTGAGGTTCCTTCTTTTTACCACCTCAGGCGTTATCCTACCTCTGTGCTTCTCTTGTGAGGAAAGTTAATACAGTTTTAACTAACATTCTTTGGCTTTGGAGAAAAAAAAGTCTTGAAATAGCTTCATTTTTTCAACTACTTCACCTTAGAAGATTAGTTGCAATACTGTTTACACAGCTGCTCAGGTCTCTGGCTGCATAGAAATGCCCTTAGAATTACTACCTATTTCTGACTGAAATAGTGGAGAAAGGAAATTTCTAGAGGAAGTAGGATTTTGCTGGCTGTTGACACAGGTGACTGACTGTTAGTACAGCTCTCATTATACAGTCAGAGAAATGTGAAATACCTATCAGCATCAGTTTTGCTACTTAGAGAGCCATTCAAGAAACTGCATAATATCCTAAGGGAGTAGTTAAGCAATGAGACCATCAAGAAAGGAGAAGCAAAATTATCTTTGTAAGAATACATGCGCGTCTCCCAACTTGCTGGGTGAATCCTTCCTTCATAAGGGTCTGTGTTCCCTCCATTTTTTGATGGTTCTGCTTAGCACTTCTTGAAATGCTCCCTGCTATCATTGTAATCACTAGGAGAAGTAGTGTGTAACTTGGGGCTTGTCTACACTAAAGGGAAAAGTCGATCTAAGCTATGCAATTTGAGTTACATGAATAGGGTAACTCAAATCGACGTAGCTTAGATCTACTTACCGCGGGGTCCACACTACGTGATGTCTACGGGAGGTGCTCTCCCGTTGACTTCCCTTACTCTTCTCGATCAGGTGGAGTACAGGAGTCGACGGGAGAGCGATCGGCGGTCGATTTAGTGGATCTTCACTAGACCTGCTAAATCAACCACCGATGCATCTATCGCCACAGCATTGATCATCCGGGAAGTGTAGACAAGCCCTGTGACAGAGGGTTTGTCAAAAGACAAATTGCTTACGGGAATTTAATGAGAGGCCTGACCAAAATTAGAATACAACCAGCCAAGGTGGTCTGAAAGACGGTATCTGAACTAGGTAGTTAAGTCTTTGAAAGCTATTAATAATCAGTGAAAGATATTTGTATCCCCAGTGGTCCAGCTCATGGAGAAAGCAGTGCATGTAAACCCTATTATGTATGCATGTAACTGGAGAAAACTGGTTTTGAAAGCTAGGGTAGCAGCACTGGATCGGGGAAGATTTCATAAGAGAGCTCTCTAGACACACAAAGAGTTTGTTGTTCTCTGGACAGCAAGAGATGCAGACAATCTGACCAAAAAGGGGCAGAGAGAAAGGATTGCTTTCAAAAGTTAGAAGCTTTCACTTTTCTTATTTTCCTCTCTAACTAAACTGGGAATGATTTCTCTAGTTTTTCTTTGAGAAGTGTGAATCTATTATGTGAACCATTTTTTTGTTTTGTTTTAATTCCATTTTCTCTGTGGTTTTAATAAATCTTGATATCGTTAAGATAACTGTCATGAGGGTAACATCACACAAGCATCTCCAGAGTGAAATGAACCCCATCATGTCTAAGGGAGAGGTGCAAAAGGGAAAAGTGTTTCTGGAACCAGTACCACCTATCAGCTTTGGTCGAGACACATGGACAAAGATTTCCTGTCCCAATGAGTTGTGTTTTCATTACACTGCAACAAGTGAATACAAGGGGAGAGGCCAGAAGACCAAGGAGGAGATGAGAATTATGACAACACAGAAATAGAAGTGGTGGAGACTGGTAGTGGGAAGACAATAAACTGGGAGATGATTAGAGATGCGGACAAGTAACCAGGGCGGAAAAGAAGTAAAATAGCAGCCTATGGAATAAAAGCAATACCATTTAAAAAAAAAAAAAAGGCAGGGGGAGGAGTAGTGGTCGAAGGAATAGGGACGGGGAAAAAAGAGGAGAGAGAGGAGGGGCCCACACACTGTGTGATGGGGCATCCACGCCAGGACAAGGCGCAAGGGGATCTGGAGGAAAGTGAGAGGTGACGCCTGGCACCAAGTCATTGCTGGGAGGAGGTTCCAGCTAGAAAAGATGGGGAATCATTGATAAAAATGGAAGTTATTTTTTTAGACAGAACTTTTATTTCCCAAATTACTCTTTGTCCGCCAGATGGTGCTCTTGGGCAACTAATGTGCTGAAGGCCAAGCTAGGGGAGAAACCTCTTGACTAGATTTAGAATCTAGAGATTGCTTTTGCGTGTTTGTCCATTTCAGAGATTTTTATTTATGCAGAAAGAATGGATGTAGTACTCCTGGCTACAGTTGTGGGCAAACAGTGAAAGAAAGGGGAAGGTGTAATTAATTTCTCATAACAAGCTATTTGTGATAATTGAAACAAATGTTGTTTGTATTTTTTAAAGTTAGGGAAACTATTGCAGACAACATGCTGCAAGCATTGAATTTACCATAAAACAATAAGGCAAATATCTCAAAGCATTTCCATTAAAAAAAAAAAAGCCAGCCGAAGGCACATGCACTAATTCATAGATGTAGTGTTGCATCTCTGCATTACTGATGTTTCCATGCACTCAGATCTTCAAAATTAGTGGCAAAAGCTGCAGCAATGTAGGTCCTTTCTCTTTTGTTTACAAAACAAACAAATAAAAACAGTTGCCATCTAGCTGACTGGTTTTGAATAGGATTTGTCTGTTTTGCACAATGACTTTCACTTTCTATTAACAAAGCTATCTCTGAAGATACACCCCCGATTTTAACTTTTTAAAATTAATTAGAAACTGGCAATGTTGAATTTCTGAAATCGAAGACCTTGCTGGTGTTATGGGAGAGAGCAATTGAAATGACACTGCCGTGTATTAACAAGTGGTGGGTTCTTTTTCTCTTTAACTCAAAGGATAATGAGGGTTTAGAAGAAGGGACACAACTGTAAAATCTGTTACATGGAATAAAAAATAGGAAAGGGAACAAAGCTATAAACACATTTTGAGTTCTGGCAACCAACATAAAGAAACAAACTTTGCTCTTGTGATTTATTATATTACCAGAACCCCTTGAATGTATTTATAGCGTTGTATTTCATGGTTAACTGTCTCTGTTTTGTTCACAGATTAAATTATTTATAAATTAGGAAATATCCTAAAATGATAACTGTTGTGAAAACATACTGTGGGTTTATAGAAAAGAAATTCAACGTAGAAGGCTTAGAGTTAGGTCGAAGTATTATGCCATGCTGTACACATCTTTTATTGTTTTTATATTTAATTATAGTACTTTGTAAGAGAAGGACAACCCAGTTGACTCAAGAAATAATGTAGGGAGGCATTCTACTAAATGTTTTTCTGTGGCCACCATGTCATCTGACCTTGAGTAAAAATGCTTGTGCCAGGTCTACCCAAGAGTTTACACTGTTAATAATAATAATAATAATAAATAATAATGATAATAAATAGCACCAGTGTGGCTAGTTGCAGTGGTACTGAAAATTGAATAAGCCATTTTCTACTGTAGACACACCTATGGGGAAAAAGAGAAGAAAAGGTTTAGAGAAGGGCAACTAAAATGATTAAGGGTTTGGAATGGGTCCCATATGAGGAGAGATTAAAGAGGCTAGGACTTTTCAGCTTGGAAAAGAGGAGACTAAAGGGGGATATGATAGAGGTATATAAAATCATGAGTGGTGTGGAGAAAGTGAATAAGGACAAGTTATTTACTTGTTCCCATAATATAAGAACTAGAGGCCACCAAATGAAATTAATGGGCAGCAGGTTTAAAACAAATAAAAGGAAGTTCTTCTTCACACAAGCACAGTCAACCTGTGGAACTCCTTGCCTGAGGAGGTTGTGAAGGCTAGGACTATAACAGGATTTAAAAGAGA